AACCAAAATGACACCATTTTAAATAATTCAAATTGAATTTTATAAATGAAAATCAGGCTTGTGTCCGGAGCCACCTGATATTAATTAGTAGTGCAGTCTGGAAAATATTTAAAGAATGCCAATGGTGAAAATAAATCAGACAAGCTTCCCTGCCCCCAAGAATTCTAGTCAGAATTTAACTGCTATTTTTAAAAAAAGCACCTCACACTGAGAAATGGCCCTGCAGGGATATTAAGAAAAAACAAGCAGTTTTCCTGGGCTTTTGCCCAGGATCCACTCCCATATTCAGAGAGCTCTCCACCTTTAAAACCTCCCGCCATGTCTACACCACAAGATGCTTTTGACAAACAATATACTGAAGAGTCAGAGGCTACACAGAGTCAGCCTGGTGACTGGTTCCAGGGTGGAATGGCCAGCTGGTCCCCTCGGCCATTTCCCAAGGAACAGGCATGGCTGTGGCTTCTGATCTCTGTGGGTCCTCAGGCCAGCTGAGGTTCAAGGGCATCACCGCTCATGGTGCTTTGCTCCCTCTGCTCAATGAAGTGAAGAGAAGACCCACATCACCCTCTCGGCATGAGGAGTACAAAAGCAGGGCCCATGACAGCCACAGAGCGGTCAGGGCCACCTGAGAATTTTAAGTCAGAGCCACTTGGTCGCTTTTTCCCTACTTTCAAAACTACACTTCTGGCAATGATTTCTTTTTATGACACCAAAGGCACAGGCAACAAAAGAAAAAAGGGACAAATGAGACTATGAAAATTAAACATTTTGTGCATCAAAAGACACAATCAGCAACAAAGTAAAAGGCAACTCACGGAATGGAAGAAAAGATTTGTAAGTCATATATCTGATGGATTAATAGCCAGACTATATGAAGAATTTCTAAAATTCAACAACAAAAAATCAGATTTAAAAATGGGCGAAGGACTTAAGATATTTCTCCAAAAACATATGAATGGCCAAAAACAACACGAAAAGATGCTGCTCGACATCACTATTAATCAGGGAAACACTCATCAAAACTGTAAGATACCACTTCCCATCCATGAGGATGGCTCCGGAGAAGGTTCCTAATTTCAATGTCGGGGAAGGGTCCCCCCACAGCAACAAACAATGTTTGGACACCACTAGGGGTCCCACAAATTCAACTCACTTCTGACCCTCCCTGGAGACAATGTCAGATCCCACAGCCTGCCCTCCCACCCTCACGCTTCAGACACCTGCCACAGCCTGGAATCTCACACGTGTTTCTGATTAACGAGCTACGGACAGGAGCTTCCAATGACTGCCTCCAACTCCGAATGCCAACTGCAAGTCCAGGCTGTTACCCGTATTTCTAAACAATTAGCTACAAGCCAGAGGTTCCAATGACCACTTTCCTGGGTTCAATTAAGTTGCTAGACACACTCAAAAGAACTCAGGAAAACCACTTACTCACTAGATTACCACTTACTACAGAGACTAGTAGATACAAGTCAGATGAAGACATGCATAGGGCGAGGTCTCAGACAAAGGAGCTTCTGTCCTCCTGACGTGGGGCCTGGCTCGGAGCCCAGCGCGGTGGCACATGGAGGCATTCTGGTTCCAAAAGTGCCAGCTCTCCAAAAGGAGGACCAGTAAGCTGTCCTCCGGGTTCGAATGGAGACTTCCTTGGTCCCTGGCCATTAGCAAATGAGCTCAGTCTTCAGCCCCTCCCCCTTTCCCAGAGGTGGTAGGACAGCAGGTGGGACTGAAAGCTCCAACCAGTAACCACGTGGTTGGCTCCATGGGCAATCAGCTCGCAGGCGCCTTCCAAAAGTCACCTCGTTAACAGAACAAGAGACACTCCATGCACCCCACCCAACCTCCTAAGGGTTTGGGGGAGCTGTGAGCCAGAAACTGTGGCAAAGACAAAATGTCTTATAAATCACAGTATCAAAGCTACTATTAAAACAAAGCAAAACAGAAAAATACCAAGGGTTGGTAAGGAGGTGGAGAAATTGGTGCCCTTGTGTGCTTTCGGTGGGAACGTGAAATGGTACTGCTGCCGGGAAAAACAGTATGGTGGTTCCTCAAAAAGTTAAACATTGAGTGATCATAAGATCCAGCAATTCCTCTTTTGGACATAGACATACCACAACGAATTGAAAGTGGGGCCTTAAGAGAGACTTGTGCACCCATGTTAATATCTGCATTATTCACAATAGCTAAAATGCGGAAGCAACCCAAATGTCCATCAATGAAAGAATGGGTAAGCAAAATGTGGTATAAACATGTATTTAAACATATATTTAAAAAGTATTAACAACATAAAAATAAAAATGCAAAAAACCATTCCCAGCTCCCAGGCCGTATAAAAATAAACAGTTGGAGCCAAATTTGGACCATAGTCCATAGACTGCAAACTCCTGCTCTAGGTCAGAATTTGCCAATGTATACTTCAATTAAAAACAAAACAAAACTGCTTCACATCAATTAAGTCTGGCAACACTAGATTAAACAAGGTTAAGCACATTTCTTTTTTTATTTTATTTTTATTTTTTATTGATTTCAGAGAGGAAGGGAGAGGGAGAGATAGAAACATCAATGATGAGAGAGAATCCTTGATCAATTGCCTCCTGCACACCTCATAATGCTGATCAAGCCCACAACCCGGGCATGTGCCCTGACCAGGAATCGAACTGTGATCTCCTGATTCACAGGTCGATGTACAACCACTGAGCTACGCCGCCTGAGCATCATTGCAGGATGTGTCAGTGCCTTTAATGTGGGACTACAGGATGAGAAACTACCAAAAGGGGTGATATGAAACTTTCCCCAAACTTATTATCACCATAAATCACTTTTTTCAGAGGCATCTCTTCAGACTAGTGGCTTGAAAAAACTATGTAAATGCCAATTTGACACTTAAAAAAAAAATTTTCAGACTGAGAAATTTTAGTAACACCACCACCAAGTTACAATCATTTTACCCAGGAAACTCACACAAGGCAGGAAGACAAACCCAGGGAGTCTTGGCTGAAACCCAACCTTCTGGGGGTGGGAAGCGTGTCAGCAGAATTGGGTCATAATATGGAATCTTTGTTGCATAGGACAATGTAAGCATTCTATCAGCTTTTGACAAAGCAATCTGCTTGGGGTTTTATAAGTCCCAAAATAAGGCGCTTTGATGTTTGGCTAGAAAACTAAAACTAGCTAGAAGAACTATCTGCAGATTACCCACACGTGAAGATGAACTGGCAAATCAAGTCCATAAAAGGACTGCTTTACATGTTACGTGGAATGTTAGCTGACAGACTGCGAAAATCCTCTTAGTAGACACACCATCTATACAACCCAGCGCTGGGAAGAGAGGCTTAAGGAGGGATTTATGTCCCAGGAAGAAAGATTGGCCTGAACAACCCCAAGGGACCCTTCTGGCAGAGACGCCTCAATTCTGTGATTCAAAGAGTTGACTGGCTTCTCCTGATCAAATACAAATTCTTCAGAGGCATTTCCAAGGTGTTCTGAGAAAAGCAGCTACAAATTGGGTGGGGACCCTGCTCGGTAATTCATTCAACAAACGTTTTGAAGGAGCCCTTATCAGATGAGCCATCCTGAGTCCTTGAAATGTATGGTTCCCAGGAAAAGATTACATAAGATGCACTACATTCAGACTCCCCGGCCTCAGTTGCACAAGATGTAGGCTGGAAGTGTCAAGAAGAGGGCAGACGAAAAGTCAGCCAGCACCAGAGAGATTCCAAATAACTATCAGAGTCACACACTTTAGAGTTGGAAGGGAGCTACAGTGGCGAGAGCTCAGTGGATAGAGCACCGGCCTGCAGACTGAAGGGTCCCAGGTTCAGTTCCCAGCAAGGGAACTTGCCTGAGTTTCGAGCTTGAGGCAGCAGGTCAATGATTCTCTCTCTCTCTCTCCCTCTCACTTCCTCTCTAAAACCAATTAAAATATTATTTTAAAAATAATAATAATAAAATAAATAAATACAGTTGGAAAGGGCTGCCTTTTGACACTTGTATACCTCCTTCAACAGGGAGTTCACTATCTTTGGAGGCAATTCCATTATTCAATTCCTGGTCACCTTTGACCAGCATTAAGTTCTTCTATGACATTGAAATCTTGGCTTCCTGGAGAATCCACCTACTGGTCCTAGCTCTGCCCCTTCCAAATCCGAACAAGATATGGAGACCCTCTTTACTGGAACAACTTTGTCAGTTACTAAAGACAGTTCCCCTCCATTGCTCTCTTTTCGGGGACAAACACCCCAATTCTTTCCAAGAGTCTGAACCGGCTCTGACCGCCTCAAAGCAAATCCAGCGCTTTCACAGCAGGAAAGCACCTGGGGTCCGCGAGCTTCAACACCAGTAGGCAGAGGACTCCCTGGGCATGCGTTCAAAGCGCAGCTCCCCAGATTCCCAGCCAGGCTGTACATACGAGGTCCCCCCTGGTTAGAGCCTGCACCCCCAAGGCATTTCAAAGCAGACGGCGTGAGAACGGTATAGGCAGAAACACTGCCCCGTTTTGCAAACGAGGAAACTGAGACCCGGCGCAGGGAAGGGATTTGGCCCAGAGCGAACAGGTGGCTGTAGGCGGCGAGGTCTCGAACCCGGGTCCCTCCCTCCCAAGCCCAACGCTGTTCACCAAGCTTCCCGGCCTCGCCTTTTGCACTCGGGGCAAACTCATGAAAAGTACTAGGATCGGCCTGGGGGTGTGTGGGGAGGGGGTTACAGAAAGAGTTGGGGTGAGTCCTTGCCAGAAAGGGGGAGCTCCCGGGGAGCCTTTTCCCTTTCGGGGCCTCCGTTTCCCCAGGTGGTAATTACGGGCCGGGAGACCACAATGCCAGCCCCACGTCTCTTCGGAAGCAAAGGGCCCCGGGCAGAACCAGGCGCGCTGTCTCCGTGACCCCTGGACTCCGGGGTCGCAGCCGGTGGGTCCCGTGAAGGGGGAACCCGGTCCCCCGCCTCTCAACCTCGGCCGCCCCTACCTGCCCGCCCTGCTCCCCACCGGCCCCTCAGGGACGTACCGGCCGCTGCTCAGCTACAGCCGCCGAGGCCTACCCAGCCTCTCCGTCCGTCCGCCGCTCCGCCCAGTCAATCTCTACGAGGAGACCTCGGAACCCTCCTACGCGGACTCGGGTCACCTGACCTGGACCCGCCCCTTTCGAGACACTTCCGGCCACAACCGGAAATGGTTGGTCCCCGCGCTGTGGTCCGTGCCCAGTGCCGCGCTGATAGGTTCCGCCTGCGGGCAGGAAGCGGAGGAACAACCTAGGGGCTCTGGAAAATTTGACAAAGACCTTGGGTCAGAGCAGGGGAAGAACTTGTAGCACCAGAATGTAAGGATGATGGGAATCCGAGAGGCGCGAAAATGTCAGAAGACACAGGAGCTAACTTGAAGGAGACCCCAACTGGCCAAATCTGAGCAATTTGAGCATTAAAATTGGCAATGATGGTAATAGAGTTTAATGGAGCAAAATGGTAACCCATGAGTCTTTACTGATATAAAGAAGTAGAGCCCTAGCCCTGACCAGTTTGGCTCAGTGGATAGAGCATCAGCCTGCAGACTGAGGGGCCCCAGGTTCGATTCCAGTCAAAGGCATGTGCCTTGATTGTGGACACATCCCCAGTGCAGAGTGTGCAGGAGGAAGCTAATTGATGTTTCTCTCCCTCTCTGTTCTTTTCTGTTAAAAAAAAAATCAATAAAATATATTTAAAGCAAAACAAACAAACAAACAAACACCCATCCAGAAGGTCACAGAACATTAGACAAGACCACTCTGTGATGGTGATGAATCAAAACAATAATAAGACCTTTTCCATAATCTTCCATAATCGTGTCTGAACCAGACAAAACATGAAAATTGTCCAAACCACAAAAATGACCAAACAATTCCCTAGCCTGGCTCATATAGAGGTTGCTACTTATTCACCAATACAGCTTTAGACTCAGTCTAATCTTCCCGCATTCTAAGTAGAATTTATCAAGGGACCCAATCATACTATCCAATCTAGATCAAAACCTGCTTCCTTGGGGGGGGTGGCGTTTAGAAAGCAACAAAAAGACTTGTATGAATGCGTATTAGCATGACCAATGGGGCTTGCCCAGGGTGGGAATGGCTGGGGGGGGGGGGTAATCAGGGGGAAAGGGAAACAAATGTAAAACTTTAGACAATAAATAAATAAAATATTATAAAAACCCCTGCTTCCTCAACCCTCCTCTAAATTAAATCATAAATGTTCATTCTAATACTCTGCTACTAAGATGCCTCATCATTTCTCATGGTTCACATTACCACTCCCCACCCCCTTGCTGTAAGGAGTAATAAGCCCAACCTGCAAACCAAGGGTGTGTCCTAGAGGTCTTTAACTGGAGAACATTGAAAACTCCCCTGCTCACTGGCCATGTGACTCTAGGCAGAAGTCTCACTGAGAAGCCTCCGCTTCCTCATTTGGTAAGATGAAGAGATTTCTTCCAGCCTCAGAAGGTAGTTGTAAGGGCACAGAACAGGCTTAGCACTGAGTTAGCTCAGTATACTTTTAGAAACTTCTGCCTGAGCTGTTACCTTCTTCAAAAAAGTCACAGAGTACAATCATTAAGGACAGACATTGCAGCCATCAGCTTCAATTAAGACAAACTTGCTACTCAGCCAGCATGGTACAGTGGTTGAGCATCGACCTATGAACCAGGAGGTCACAGTTTGATTCCCGGCTTGCGGGCTCGATCACCAGTGTGGGACCTGCAGGAGGCAGCCCATCAGTGATTCTCATCATTGATATTTCTATCTCTCTCCCCCTCTTCTTTCCTCTCTGAAATAAAATTCTTAAAGACAAATTTGCTGATTATATTCCCTTTTGCTGCTTGGGTTTATAAAACAGACTAAAGGCGAGAGTTGAACTTTTCCTTTGTCAGAAACGAGGTCATTCTCGTGTTTTCTTCTGGAAAGTGATAACCACATTTACGAAATGTTCATGTAGGGGAATCAGCACTGCTTATTTCTGCATGTTCTTGTTGTTATAAACGTTCCCAAGAAATAACAGAATTGGAACTGACACATTTGGGAGAACTTCAGCTTCAAACACATATTAAATATCTTCTCTGCTTCAGTACACTAAGGTAATTTCAGGTCCCAGCAACACTGTTGGTGAGGTTTGCATCTAGTCCTCTAGAACCCAGCATGGATTTCATATGATTTGATGTCTACAACAAATTGTGCCGAATGAAAATATGTTTATTCCAGTGGGGGAAAAATAAAGTAAGTAGCAATGTTCTGATTCTTTTCCCTGCTTGCTCTGAGCATCTGAACATTCTCATTGGCATAGCCCTAAATTCCCCCCTGCCTTCACCCCCACTTACTCCTTTAATACTAATACTAATACTAATACTAATACTAATACTAGCAGCTGATATTTATTGAATGTTCATTAATGTGCCACAGGGATTTATGCAATTTAACCCTCATCCCGAATTGTGAAGCAAGTATTATTACTTATGAGGAGCAAGAGGCCTAGTGAAATTAAGCAACATCCCCAACATCCACATTAGTGGGTATGAGTGTCGGCCTGTGGACTGAAGGACCCCGGGTTCGATTCTGGTCAAGGGCACATGCCCAGGTTGCAGCCTGGATCCCCAATGAAGGGAGGGGAAAAGCAGGAAACAGCCAATCAATGATTCTCTCTCATCATTGATGTTTTTCCCTCTCTCTCTCCCTTCCTCTCTGAAATCAATAAAAATATATTTAAAAAGAAAAGAAAAGAAAAGAAAAGAAAGGAAGGGTCTGGGGTAGGGGGATATGGAGGTCCATGCTGAGGCATTCAGACCTCCAAATCTGGCCTGCCCCCACCCCTATCCCACCCCACTCTGGGGTTAGTCTGTCCTTTTCCATACAAGAAGCTCAAAGAGAAAAAGACCACGTATGCAGACAGGAGGGAGAATAAACGGAAGGAAGCACCATCTAATCCTCCTCAGCCCCAACCCTTCCATGGAGGAGCTGAGCTGGTTAAGATCATGACCTCATTGGTTACCCAACCTGGGGCAAATGTGCAAATCCTTGCTGTGTGCCTTCAAGCGCGTTACCTAACCCTGGGCCTCAGGTTCCTCTCACTCTTTGTGCGTGGGTCCTAAGCTTAGGCCACAGGCCACTGGTGTCAAGCTTTCTGACCCAGGATAGCTCAGGGTCCATTAAATTCTGCCCCTGCCCCACGGGGGACCTACCCCAGGGCACTGTCCATAGGGTGGCGCTGCTGACCAAGGGCAGGGACTCACTTGGGACAGGAGCAGAGTGAACCAGCCTGACTTCCAGGCCGCCGCTCTATCCACTGAGCCAAACCGGTTTAGGCACGTCAGAGTTCTTTTGTTTAGTGCCTGGGCAGACAGGATCTGATTTATTCGCATGTAAAATAGGCACTCAGAGAGGTGGAGTCATTGGCTGAGTTGGGCGGGAAATCGGGTATTTGAACCCTGAGCCCAGGGCTCCCCACTGTGTCCCCCTTCTCCAGTCTCCTCACCTAAACGGGCTGCTATTTGACTTCTTGTAGGGCCATATCCCATTTGAGACTTCAGTCAGTCCTCAGGGGGACCTAAAGGACGCTTGCCCATCCTGGATTGGGGGTGTCAGGGAAGAGGGCTTACTGTAAGGGGTGATCAAACCGATACTCGAAGGATGAGTAGGAACAAGCCGGGTGAAGGGGAGGGAAGAGTGTTTTAGGGAAAAGGCATAACATGTGCAAAGGGCCTGGGAGGGCCTGGTGGTGGAGGAAAGAGGAGTAAGTAGCTCTGTGCGGCTGCAGCAGAGGCGTGGGGAGCTGGGGAGGTCAGCCAAGCTCAGATCCTGCAGGGCATGACCGGCTTCAACCAGGTGGTCAGGAGAGGGGCAGGGGACAGACCTGGCCGGGATTGTGTTCTTTGGAACCATCCGGACAGCGGCTCTTTGGAGAACCCTTATCCTAAGACAGAAAATTGAGAGCCAGAGAGGCAGAGGGCTTGTCCAGATCAGACAGTGAGTCGGAGGGCAGACAAGGAAGACCAGGCAGGTGCAAGAGGGACCAGGAAAGGAGCCAAGAGCGATCCTCGAGCAGGAGTTTCTCTAGATGGTGCCGGCTCTGGGTGCCCACTAGGTGGCAGCAGAGACTGGACCGAATTCTGAGAGCTCAGGCAGGGCCCTGCTTCCATCTCCCGGTGGGGGCATACGGGCTGCTCTCGGGCCTTTAGTCTAAATCCCAGAGCAGCAAGGACAATCTTGGGTGTCAAGATGCTCAAGGCCTGGTCCTAGCTCCAGTTCCCCTCTGCCATTGACCTTGGGCAAATTCACAGATATAACTGTACTTCCGAAACTTGAGTCCTTGGCTATACTAGCAGATATGGGGGAGTTATTATTTAGTCTAGCAGGGGCCACATTCTGCAGTCAGATCTCCCTCTGAGTCCTTTAAAATATATATATATATATATATATATATATATATATATATATATATAATTTATTTCAGAAAGAAAGGAGGAGAGAGAGAGAGAGAGAGAGAGAGAGAGAGAGAGAGAGAGAGAGAAACATCAATGATGAAAGAGAATCACTGATTGGCTCTCTCCTGCATGCCCCCTAGTGGAGATCAAGCCCGCAACCCAGGCATGTGCCCCTGACGATAGTTGCACAACTATGAACATACTAAAACTGTTAAATTGGGGCTTGGCCAGTGTTGGTCGGTGGGTTGAGTGTTGACCTATGAGCTAAGAGATTGCCGTTCAATTCCCGGTCAGGGCACATGCCTGGGTACCAGCTCTCCTTCCCTTTTCCTCTCTCCCCATAGATGTCAGACCTGCAACGGTGTTAAAGGCTTTTCCTATGCACTCCTGCTTTCTCCTTCTTAAAAAAAAAAAATATATATATATATATATATATATATATAAACATATATATATATATATATATATATATATATATAAATAATTGATTTGAGAGAGAGAGAGAGAAGCATCAATGATGAGAGAGAATCATTGATCGGCTGCTTCCTACAAGCCCCCCACTGGGAATTGAGCCCACAGCCCAGGCATGGACTCTGACCAGGAATGGAACGGTGACCTCCTGGTTCATAGGTTGAGGCTCAACCCCTGGGCCCCGCTGGCCGGGCCACACCAGCTTTTTTAGATGGTGGGATGCTGAATGATACATTGGCTTTGGGACATAGAAACACGTGCAGGATATAGCTCTTTCCTGATGGATGAACAACCCCTGTCCCTTGGGGGACACGATGCCTGCTACATTCCCAAGGTGGCCACAGTCCAGGGACAGAGGTGGCTGCAGCTTCAGGCTCCTGGGCCACCCCTGCTCCTCTGGGGACCCTAGTCCCTTCAAGTTCAGAGCATCAGCCCTGCCCCATGTAGCTCTCATGTCCTGCTCTGGCTGTCTCTCTACCCACTGTCTATTAGACCAGGAGAGTGAAATATATTTTATTGATTTTTTTTTTTTTAACAGAGAGGAAGGGAGAGGAATAGAGAGTTAGAAACATCGATAGGAGAGAAACATCGATCAGCTGCCTCTTGCACACTCCCCACTGGGTATACGCCCGCAACCAAAATACATGCCCTTGATCAGACTCGAACCTGGGACCCTTCAGTCCGCAGGCCCACGCTCTATCCACTGAGCCAAACCAGTTAGGGCGAGAGTGACTTCTGAACTAGGCCTATGCCTGGACTGGAGCCCACAGCCCAGGCATGGACCCTGACCAGGAATTGAACTGTGACCTCCTGGTTCATAGGTTGACGTCAGATGGCAGGAATCCCGGGGACGCTGGCCCCTGGCTATGCCAAGCGCCTTTCTAAGAACCGGGATTTGGAGGGAGCCAGGCCAGGGCACACCTGCCTTTTTCCCAGAAGCCTCCCTTTCCCAGAATTTGGGGGGAAGGAGGGGTCGGGGGAGGAGATGGTTTGTGACCATAGAGCCTCAGGCCTGCCCTCACCTCTTTCATCCAATCATGGCCCTGCAGCTTCATGGAGGCGGGGCAGGTGTATGGCAGCACCGCTGGGGGAGAGAGATGAGGATAAGTTCCAGGAGCCTCCTCCTCGGACCCTTCCCTCCCCAGAGAGGAGGTGTAGACCTCTCCGGGCCCCGCCCCCCAGCCCTGGGCTGTGGCTCCCACAGTCCCCGTCCAGGCTGCCAGCAGGTGACTGGATGGCACTCAGAAAGCCGGGTGCATGGGGCGTGGGCCTCGGCGCGCGCACTCTCAGCCAATCAGCGGCCTGTCCAGCGGGTGGATTCAGTTACAAGCTTGAGATCACCCCATACGCCACCCTCCTTCCTCCCCCTCCCAAAGCTCCATTCATTGGCCCCGCCGGGCCGCACCGGGTCTGCCGGGCACCGTTTCCATTCGCTCCTGGGCTCCTGGGCTGCTGCTGCCGCCGCTGCTGCCTCGTGGGCGGGCCGGCTGGGACCTCCAGGGCCGGGCATCCCGTTCCCGGGGGCTTTGTCTAACGGGGCGGAATGAGGAGGCTTCTGAGGGGACTGTTGGGGGTGCTGAGCTTCGCGGGGGCTGCCCTGGAGGGCTCTTGTGCCCTGCCCTGGCACAGCACCTCCTGCCACCTGGCCAGGCCCAGCCCCGGCGGCCCCCGGGGGTCCCTCAGCTTCCTGGGCAGGGATGCGCGGGGCCTGGCCGTGGTCCATGCCCGCTGGGATGGGCGCGGGAGGCTGCGGGCTTGTCGCCGGCAGGAGGAGCCGGAGCTCACGGCAGCCTTCAGCGCCCTCTGCGCCAGCGAGACCTCCCCGGGCTTCTTCGTGCACAGCCCGGCCCCCGCGCTGCGGAGAGCCCTGGCCGCCCTGCAGCGGCGCCGGGGGGCCTGCCCGCCAGCCGCCCGGGGGCCGGCAGGAGTGAGGAGGGAGAAGCGAGCGGCAGGGCAGCCGCGGGAGAAGAGAGGCTGGACCATACCCGGCACCCTGTGGTGTGGCTTCGGGGACTCTGCGGGGAACTCCACGGAGCTGGGTGAGCCTCACGGGGGTGTGGGGGGCTGTGGGCTGGGGGGCGTTCAGGGTTTCACCCTGGCCTCCACTCTTCCAGGCTGTGTGTCCCCAAGGGAGTGACTTAGCCACTCTGAGCCCCAGCGACCTTCTCTGTAAAATGAGGGCGACCCCACGTCCCATCAGGGGAGGCTTCAGTGGGGTCATAGATGGGAGAGGTCCCACTCACACCGGGGAGTCCCTGATCATCACCATCGGGGAGGGGCCAGGCCGGGCTGGATCCGGGGTCAGCCGGACCAAATGGCCACGTCCTAAGAGGAGGTTTTATAAGCCACAGAGTGGCCAGGGGGGCAGACGCTGAGACCCACGGGCCCTGGGGTCACAGGTCAGCTTAGCAGGCCCACGTGCTGGGAGCCCGTTCCCTCGCCAGGATCCTGAAGGGACACCTGGCCGGCCGGGCTGCGGCCAGCGTGGGTGTGGGAAGCCGGGCTCTTGCGAAATGCTCAGCAGGAGGCATGATGGCCCAGATGGCTTTTCTGCACCCTCAGCACAGCTGCCCGTGGCGGGTGCGGAGGGCTGGAGGAGGCCCTGGCGTCCGAGCTGGGGCAGGCTGACCTCCTGGCAATGCTCCGCCTTGTCGGCACCCAAGGCTGCACCCTGCCTGTTTGTCATTCCATTCCGCACATGTTCACGGCCTCACCGTGGTATTTAGGTGGGTCTGCCCCCACAGTTCCTCCCAGGCGGACCTTTCCGAGGGCCTGGGCTCCTGGGCAGGCTGCCCTGCATTTGAGGTTGCACAGCCCATGCTATGCCTGGGTGCTCTCGTTAAGCTTTGGAAACGTGAGTCCTGTCCTGGCTGGTGTGGTTCCGTGGATAGAGTGTTGGCCTGTGGACGGAGGGGCCTGAGTTCCATTCCAGTCAAGGGCACATGCCCGGTTGTGGGCTTGATCTCCTGAAGGGGGCGTCCAGGAGGCAGCCAATCAGTGATTTTCTCTCTCATCATGGATGTTTCTATCTCCCTCTCCCTTCCTCTCTGAAATCAGTAAAAATCCTATATCATAAAAGGCTAATGTGCACATCAACCAAATGGCAGACCGACCAGTCGCTAGGATGTGCACTGACCACTATGGGGCAGACGCTAAATGCAGAAGCCGGGCTCACCACTGGCGAGAGCAGCAGCACTAAGGATGTTCAACTGCCATCAGTCTGACATCCCCCAAGGGCTCCCTTCTTGATATATTTTATTGATTTTTTACAGAGAGGAAGGGAGAGGGAGAGAGAGTTAGAAACATCGACGAGAAAGAATCATCAATCAGCTGCCTCCTGCACACCCCCTACTGGGGATGTGCCCGCAACCAAGATACATGCCCTTGACCGGAATCGAACCTTGGGACCTTTCAATCTGCAGGCCTGCGTTTTATCCCTTGAGCCAAACCTGTTAGGGCTCAAGGGCTCCCTTTTATTATATAGGGCTCCCAAGGCCTGGCTGAGTGACCCCCCTGAACGCACGAATTTCATTCATCGGCCTCTAGTATATTAAATAAATAATAATAAAAAAAAAAGAAACTGTGAATCCCATGGAGGGAGACTGACTCGCTTGAGGCCACCGGGTCTCTGGTCCCAACATCCTGGGACCCTGCTGAGCTGGTGCCCCCTCCGCGCCCAACAGGTGTCTTCCGAGGCCCCGACCTCTGCTGCCGGGAGCATGACCACTGCCCACAGGCCATCGCGGCTTTCCAGTACAACTACGGCATTCAGAACTACCGCTTCCACACCATCTCCCACTGCGACTGCGACGCCAGGTAGGCGGTGGGCAGGGGGCAGGGGCGGTGTTCCTCAGCTCCTGGGGTTCCAGAGCCTGGGACCCCCCCCCTGCAAGTGGGAAAGCTGAGGGCTGAGTGGAGAAAGACCTCTTTGTTTTTAAAAATATATATGTTTTTATTGATTTCAGAGAGGAGGGGAGAAGGGAGAGGGAGAGAGACATCAATGATAAGAATCATTGATTGGCCGAAACTGGTTTGGCTCAGTGGATAGAGTGTCGGCCTGCGGACCAAAGGGTCCCAGGTTTGATTCCGGTTAAGGGCATGTACCTTGGTTGCCGGCACATCCCAAGTTGGGGTGTGTGTGTGTGTATGCAGGAGGCAGCCGATCGATGCTTCTCTCTCATTGATGTTTCTAACTCTCTATCCCTCCTCTCCCTTCCTCTCTGTAAAAACATCAATAATATATATATATATACACACACCGTATTTTTCGGACCATAAGAGGCTCTGGACCATAAGACGCACCAGTTTTTAGAGAAGGGAAATGAAGAAAAAAAGATTCTGAAACAAATAGTGTCCTAAAATATTTTATGTGCATTAAAACCCAACATCACAGTCATAAACACATGTAATCAACCCTGTAAAGTAAACAGCAGCATTTAGAACCATTTTAGAGCCCGGCAAGCACACAGAGACCACACAGAGCAGGGCAAGTAAAAAAACTTTTTTTTAAAAGTATATGTGTAGGCTATATTTGGACCATAAGACGCAGGGACTTTTTCCCCCCACTTCTGGGGGGGGGAAAGTGCGTCTTATGGTCCGAAAAAACGGGGTGTGTGTGTGTGTGTGTGTGTGTGTGTGTATATGTGTGTGTGTATATATATATATATATATATATATATATATATATATAAAGAATCATTGATCGGCTGCCTCCTACACACCCCACACTGGGGATGGAGCCTGCAATCCCGGCAGGATCCCTGACTGGGAATCAAACCCTGACCTCCTGGCTCCCAGGTTGATGCTCAAACGCTGAGCCGCACTGCCGGGGCTAGGGAAGGAACTCTTGAACCCACGCCACCTGCCGGTAGTGTCCGGTGGGCTTGGGGAGGAGCCGGGGCCCTCGGTGGCCCGGGGACCTGAGTGCCCGCTCTGGCTCTGTGGCAGGTTCCGGCAGTGCCTGCAGAGCCAGCAGGACTCCGTCTCGGACCTCGTGGGCGTGGCTTTCTTCAATGTGCTGGAGACCCCCTGCTTTGTGCTGGAGGAGCAGGAGGCGTGCGTGGCCTGGTACTGGTGGGGCGGGTACGTGTCAGCTCCCTCGGAGCCCTTTCCCGGGGAGGGAGGCTGTCTGTCTGTCCGTCCGGGGGATGATGCCTGGTTCTCTCTGTCCTCTCCTCTGGGCGGGCCCAGGAGGCAAACATCCCCCACCCTCCCTCCTGTGCCCCACACAACCCAGCGGGATGAGGGGTGGGGCTGACGGAGCCTTGGTCTCCATGGAGATGAAGGGGGGGGGCTTCTAGAAGGGGAGATTCTGGGTTACCAATTGCCATCCATCGCCACCTCCTAGGTGCAGGGCCTACGGCTCCATCCCCCTAGCCCGCCTCCAGCCCAAGACCCCGTACAATGCCTCCTGGAGCTCCCCAGCCGTGGCCCTGCCTCCCAGCGCCCCCAGCCCTGCCCCCAGCAAGCCAGGACAGAAGCAACGCCCTCGGAAGTGGCCACCACAGCGGGAAGGACCCCGGCTCCCCAGCAAAGGCAGTGCCGCCACCCTCCAGGCCCCCGAGGTCACCCATCCTGACCCTCAGGGGCCTCCGGGTGGCCTGAAGCCTCAGGGTGAGCTCAGAACCTAACCTGGGGGGCGGTTCCTGAGGGGAGGAGGTGTCCCGGCCTCTGTGCCTGTGTGGGGGCCCCCTGTGTTACTTCCTTTCCTGCTCCACTCTCTTCCCGGGGTCTCTCTCCTTCCCTCACCGCACCCGGAGGGATTCCCATAAGCTTCCAACTGGACAGTGTCACTGCCCTCTGAGCCCCCACCCTGCCTCCTGTCCCCTGAACCGACCATGTCTGGACGCCCTCGGGCCCTCAGGCGTGGGTTCGGTGACACCTGCTCCTCCGTCGAAACTTGAGTGTCACAGGCTTCACGTGGTCCCTCAAAAGCAACGTGCTCTCTCCGACCTCTGGGCCTTTGCACATGCTGTCCCTTCCTGCCCCTCCTCTCTCCCAGAGCTCAGCAGCCTCTACCTGCGGGTTCGGGTTCGGGTTTGGGTTCGGGTTCGGGTTTTTTAATTGATTTCAGAGAGGAAGGGAGAGGGCGAGATAGAAACACCAAGGATGAGAGAGGGTCATGGGTCAGTTGCCTCCTGCTGAGGATCAAGCCTGCATCCCAGGCTTGTGCCCCGGCTGGGAATCGAACCGTGGCCTCCTGGTTCATGGGCCGATGCTTAACCACTGGGCCACGCCTGCCTTTTCTGATCACCATGAGCGCTCTGGACACCCCCACACTGTGTGTGTGGTTGTGCACGTGTGTGTGTGTGTGTATGTGTGTGTGACTGTGACTGAGCCCAGGTGCTGGTGTTTCTCCTGGATGGCAGTGGGCATGGTGGGGGCCCCCATGGAAGACTGAGGGGGCTCGCCTCACCGCCACGCCGTCCCCAGTCGCCCGCCAGGCCTGCCGCAGCTTCCGCCACCTGGACGAGTGTGAGTACCGGATCCGGCCCGGGGAGACCAAGTTCCAGCTGTTCAACGAGGCCCCGGAGCCCCTCTTCCACTGCAACTGCACCCGCCGGTGAGGCCAGCTCCGGCCCTGGGGTGGGCTGCCCGCTCGCTGCCTGCCGGGCACTGGGAGGGGGCCCCTGGCTGGCAAGGCCGTTCCCCAGCCTGAGCACGTCTCTGCCCTCAGACTGGCACGGTCCCTGAGGCGCCACAGCCCACCCACCGGTGCCAACCTGCTCTGGGAACTGCTGGGCACCACCTGCTTCCAGCTGGCCCCGCCCCCGGACTGCGCCGAGAGCCCAGAGTAAGTGTGAGCAGAGCCAGGAGGGAGGGTGGGGGGGTGGGTAGCCTATGCCCGCCGCGGGCACCTGGGGCAGAGGTCAGGGCCCTCTGAGCGCCACTGTCCTCCCCCTGCCCCCTGGTGCCTGGGCTCAGCACTGCAGTTGGCCCATATGGGTTGCATCTTTTTTTTTTAAATTGATTTCAGAGAGGGAGAGGGCGAAATAGAAACATCAAGGATGAGAGAGGGTCATGGGTCCGCTGCCTCCTGCTGAGGATCAAGCCCGCATCCCAGGCTTGTGCCCCATGCTGGGAATCGAACCGTGGCCCCCTGGTTCGTGGGCCGATGCTTAACCACTGAGCCACACCAGCTGGGCTGGGTGGCATCTTGGCTCTGTCATTGACTTGCTATGTGATCTGACGAGTTGAGTCAGCTCCCCACACCTCTGTGTTCTTATCTGTAAAACGGTTATAGACGCCGAAGAAATGGGGCGTGTGGGAGGTGCACACAGCCAGAGGCCCGTGGCCACGTCCTTAACACCCTTCTTGCTTCCCTCACAATCTCATTTCGAGTCCGACTCTCAGAGCCGGCCCCGCGCTCTTTCCTGTTTTCACACGTGAGGGAACAGGCCCAGCCTGGCCCAGGGTCATGCAGCTGAACCCAGGCATCGGGGAGCCCGGCTGGTTCATTCTGCCCCTGTCTAGGGTCAACTCCCCCCCCCCCCCCCGCCCCCAGCTCCAGCCCTGCCCCCCGGGGCCTCCCTCCGCTCTGCTCCGGTTCCCCCAGAGCAGGGCGGAGTCCTTGGGTGACCGCCTGCCCCACTTTCCTCTTCCTGCAGCTGTTCCCGGGGCCCCAGGGCCGTCAAGGTGTCCGCTCGGCACTTAAAGCGACTTCAGCGGAGGAGACTCGGGGGCAAGGGCGCAGAGCGGGGGCAGGCCCGGCCTCCGGAGCCCCCCAAAGCCCCCCTGTCCTTCTATGACCGGTGCCTGCAGCAGACCCAGGCAGCCTGAGGACCCGGGAGCCGCAGACATCCTGGAACCGGCGACGTGGGTTCCAGCGTTCACGGCCCCGACCGGACCTTGTCCGGGGCTTTGCTAGGCCCTGGGGGTCTCCGCCCCTTTTCCACACATTCGTTGCACAGACGTGTGGCCCCGGCTCTCAGGAGGGGGCCGAGGCCCAAACACCGGACTGTGTCTCCTGCCGTGCTGGGTGACCTTGGGCTGGTGACCCAGCCGCTCTGGGCTCGGACTGTGGTGTTCAGGAGGCTCGTCCTGATGCCCTGGGCTGAGACCTGGCCAGGGCACCCCACTCCAGATGGGAATGGGGCAGGGGTCCCGCGAGGCAGCAGCCTCGGAGGTCCCAGCAGGGGGCGGGGGATGAGGGATACCACAGGAGTGCCTGCGTCTGAACCCAAGATCGGGGCTGGGGGCGGGGGGCACTAGAGAGGGACTTCCCAGCTCCCCTCCTCCCGGGAGACCCCCTTCTCTGAACCGCTGCTGGCCCTCTCGCTCTGCCCTGACCCTGAATTCTAATCTCCCCCGTGCCTTTGAGCAAGGGGCCTCCTCCCGGAACCTGAGCCTTTGTTTCCTCCTTAAAGAGGAGCAGGATACATGGGACCGACCTACCTCAGAGGCTGCTGAGGGCCATGTGAGCCGATGCACGGCCAGCGCTTAGGACCTCGTCAATACCCCCTCCCTCCAACGCGCTGCCAAGCCGTGCCCGGGGGGCCTGGTTTTCAGAGGCCGCATGCAACCTCTCGGAGGCCTCAGTTTGCTCACCTGTGAAACGGGACTAAGAGCTGCTCTGGGACTCAACACCGCAGCTCAGGGCTGCCGTGCCGATTAAAGGAGATGGCATGTGTCATGTATACGGCCGGTGGGTGCCTGGTGCTTGTCAGATCCGCCCATCCTCTCCTTGGGTCCCTTTCTCTGACTCCGCCCCCCGCCCCGCCCCCAGACTGCTAACAAGGTACGAAGGCGTCGGCAGCGAGGCTGGAGAATTTAATTCCTAATCAATGAGCTCTAGGATTGCCCTTCTCCCGTCCCAGATGGGGGCCTAGGCCGGGCTCTGCTGATTGTCACAGTTGAGGCGTCAGGACTGAGGGTGAGGGGACCCCCTTTGGCCATCCCTGGCGGGGACCGAGCGTCAGGTGCGGAGGAAGCTGGAGCAGCAGCAGGAGGGAGGCAGGTGGGTTCACAGGCTGCATCCGAGCGGGAGCCACCTGTACCCGCCTGCCCACCCCACCCCTCCCCCCAGCTTCAGGGCCCCAGGCCCCCTTCCTCCAACCTCTGCCGGCCCTGAGGGCTGGGAGACAGGCTGTCGGGGGTCGGGGCCTCCTGGTCAGGCTCCCAGGGGCCACCGCCTCCAGGGTCTACAGTCTCCAGGCGCAAGGCGGGCAGCAGGCCGAGGCTTCGAGGCACAGGTGGGGGGAGGGTCCAGGGACCAGGCAGCCCGGCGAGGCCCTCCTCACCGCAGCCCTGGGTGCCTCCGTCACTGCTGCCCCTGCTGGGGGCCACGCAGGGCAGGCGGCGGCTCTGGGGCGAGGGGCTGCGGCTGGTGCCCCGGCGTTCGCAGGAGGAGGGCCGGAGGGCCAGGCCCGGGAAGCGGGCCAGGCCCGGGCTGCGGCTCCGGTGCCGCTTGGACTTGCCAGGGCTGGGGCTTCGGGACTTGGGTGCGAGCAGCTCCAGGGTGCTGTCGTCCTCCTCCTCCGAGCTGGTCCCTGAGCTGTGGGAGCTGCTGCTGGCCGACTCCGAGGCAGGCAGCGAGATCTGGCGGGGAGGCGGGTGGCTGGAGTGGCCCGATCCCCAACCGGCCACCGACGTCTCCTCACCAACCCCCAACTTCTCCTCGTCAGACCCCGGGAGGTCAGGCTACGTGCAGGGGCCACAGAACAGAATGTAGAGGCCACGCCCTAGCCGGTGTGGCTCAGTGGATAGAGCGTCGGCCTGCGGACTGAAAGGTCCCGGGTTCGATTCCAGTTAAGGGCACAGGCCCCAGTTGTGGGCTCCATCCCCAGTAGGAGGCATGCAGGAAGCAGCTGACCCATGATTCTCTCTTCATTGATGTCTCTATCTCTCTCTCCCTCTCCCTTCCTCTCTGAAATCAATTAAAAAAAAAATATATATATATATATATATATATATATATATATATATATATATATATTTTTTTTTAAACCGGTTTGGCTCAGTGGATAGAGCGTCGGCCTGCGGACTGAAAGGTCCTGGGTTCGATTCCGGTCAAAGGCATGCACCTTGGTTGCGGGCACATCCCCGGTGGGAGGCGTGCAGGAGGCAGCTGGTGGATGATTCTCTCTCATCGACGTTTCTAGCTCTCTATCCCTCTCCCTTCCTCTCTGTAAAAGATCAATAAAATATATAAAAAATGAAATAAAATAAAGAAGTAAAAAACAGAGGCCGTGGCATTTGAGTTTTGACACCCCGGCCCTGCAGTCTGGGTCCTCACCTGGAAGGGCTCTGTGACGCCGATGAGGGTGCTGAGGGTGTGGCTGTAATAGCCCAGGATGAAGTCTCCGTGGCCCTTGGGCAGCGACTCCTCACTGAATGTCACCTGGTGGGCCCCGGGCATAAGCCCAGGTTGGGGTCAGAGAGAGGTAGCCACAGCCGCCCCCCTCCACTCCCCTCCCCACCCAAAGGCCGTGGGGACTCCCCCCTCCCCCCGCTCCCCTGAGTACCTGGTAGTTGTTCCTGTCCACATCCTCGTGTTTGGCCCAGACGTAAGCCACGTAGTCCTTGCAGTGGCGGAAACCCACCTGAGGGGGGAGTGGGGGGGACAGGAACCGGGGCTCTGACCCCTGGGGCCTGACCCCAGCATCCGCCCTGGGTGGCAGCAAACTCTGGGAAAGCCATGATCCCACCTGGGCACCCCCCAGGGGCTCTCCTGCGGGCCCTCCCTTCCCCCCACGCCGCTGCCCACCTCGCCCTCCCTCCTCACCCGGTACAAGCCGATCCAGTCCCAGGAGCTGCGGGCGAACACCGTTTCCACACGGTACCGCACCACGGCCTGCTCCGGCCGCACCCACTCCTCCGCCACCTCCAGCCGCACCAGCGGCAGGTCGTCCCTGAAGGCAAACTGCCCCGGGGGGGCGGGGCAACATCAGCGAAGACCCTCTGGCAGTCCCAGGCACCCTGGGGCCTGAGCCAGCACACACACACAGACACACACACACACTCACACACACACACACACACACACACACACTCACACACACACACACAGGCTGAGATAAGGGCCTTTGAAGCTACGGCGGAGACGGGGAAACTGAGGCAAGAGCAGGCCTAGGATGAAAGCTAGGCTTCTGCCTCCCAGCCCAGAGCTCTCTCTGCTCAGAGCCACCCGAAGGGGTGACTGAGAACACAGCTTCGATGTTCGGAGACCGTGGGTTTGGCCCCTGGCTGTCACTGACAGGCTGCAGGGCCCTTGGGGAGTTTTTTTTTTCCTTTTTTAAATATATTTTCATCACTGATTTCAGAGAAGAAGGGAGAGGGGGAGAGAGAGAAACATCCATGACGAGAGAGAATCATGGATCGGCTGCCTCCTGCACGCCCCCTACTGGGCATCGAGCCCGCAACCCGGGCAGGTGCCCCTTGGCCAGAATCAAACCTGGGACCCCCTTCAGTCCGCAGGCCGACGCTCTATCCACTGAACCACACGGGCCAGGGCTTGGTGAGTTTTTCAACCTCTCCGAATGCCAGGGCTCCTGTCTATAAACCTGGATGATCTTATTAAACTCTTGGAGCTGGTGTGCAGATCGAACGAGGCGCTGTTTGCGGAGCGTCCCGTATACACTTCCCAGGACACAGCGTCCCACAGGCGGGGATGCTGGTAAGGGAGACACGGTGTGCTGGATATTGTGGGGGGGAGGCCGAGCACCCCTGAGTGGGCCAGAGAAGCCCTGGGTGAAGGGCTGGAGGCCTCAGGTCGCTTCTAGGCTCTGCTACTTACTCACTTGCTCTGTGACCCCACGGAAGCCCCTGGCCAACCCAACGCCCAGCTTCCCCTTCCGTACAGGACCCTGTCACCGGGCCATAAAGACAACGCGTAGCCAGGAGCACCCTCCTCCCGGGGCCACCCGCCTGGGTGGGGCTGCGGGGGTGGCAGGAGGCCAGCCGCTCCTCTGTCCCTCGGAGGGGGACTCATGCGGTGCCAGCCTCAGTCTTTTGTCTGCTTCCTGTTGATCTGGTTTCAGGTTTCCCTCCCGCCGCGTCTCAGCCAAACGGTTCCAGAAAAAACACACATCACATCCTCTCGTGCCCCTGGGGCTCCACGTCGTCAAATCGGACTGCCAGGTTGGGCTCTTAGGAATGGCCTCCAAGGGTCAAAACTTCTGCTATCTCTCTACCCCCCTCCCCTGCACCCAACCCCATCCCCACCCCTCATTCTGATCGTGTTGCTCTTTGGGTAAGAGACTCGGGTCTTCTGAGCCTCCATGTTCCTGGTAAGGAAACCGGGAGGGGAATTTGGACATTTCCGGGCCCACGAAGGCATTCGAAGGGAGGGCCCGGGCCAGGCGCCCCGCAGGCCATGTTTTACAGGGGACAGAGTCCGGCTGGGGAGGGAGGGTCAGGGGAGGACACCCAAAAGGAGTGGTTCTCGCGGTGAGGGTTACACCTAACACCTCAGCCCTTTGCCAAAGGTCACAGGGGGCCAGACACAGGCAGATTGTCTCTCCCAGCTGCGAATGTTGGCCCGAGTCCCGCGGACCGACCATGTGACCGCGTTATCAAAGAAAACATTCTCTGGCCCGCGGCTCCCCCTGATCAGATCGAGAGAGAGATCGGAGAGCCTCGCGTTGGGTTTCAGGGCTGGGAAGGTGGAATCTGCCCGGCGCTGCCACGGGGCACATGCCTACCCTGCTAGGGGCTTCTGTTTCCCCATCCGGTTGGGTTACAGAGTCTCCGGGTCCAGTTCTGACATTCCTGCATTTCCTCTTTCTGCGCTTTCAGCCCTACACACAATGCTCCATTATAGTAACTAGTTAAGAGTTCAGCTTTGTGTTTTTTAATATCCCGACTCCCTCTTCCCATAACTACCTTACTGTTTGGTTTTGTTTTAAATATATTTTATTGATTTTTCACAGAGAGGAAGGGAGAGGGATAGAGAGCTAGAAACATCGATGAGAGAGAAACATCGACTAGCTGCCTCCTGCACCCCCCCACCAGGAATGTGCCCGCAACCAGTGCGCATGCCCTTGACCAGAATTGAACCTGGGTCCTTTCAGTCTGCAGACCGACGCTCTATTCACTGAGCCAAACTGGTTTTGGCTACCTTACTGTTATTATGCCTGGCATGTAATAATGCCAAATGTCATGATGGTTCATTAAAAAAAAAAAAAAAAAATGGCCCTAGCCAGTCCTTGGGTGAAGATTAAAAATAAAATAAATATAAATAACATTTTGAGTTTGCTGGCCTTATATATTCGAATTTTAACATAAGTTGCCTTCGGCAAACTCATTAGTCAACAGAGCTAAGTATCAACAGGACAACAATTGAAATTTCTTTTGAGAATCAAACTTTTTAAACTTCAACTTCTTCTAAGGCCACTTCATCAAAAACAGACTCGCCCAGGGCGTGGTATTTTGTGGAAGAGCCACACTCCAGGGGCCAAAGAGCCCCATGTGGCTTGCGAGTGGCAGTGTGCCGACCGCGGGCCTAAACCTTTCTTGGAAGAAGGGAGTTAAGAGATGAGTGGAGCCAAAACCGGTTTGGCTCAGTGGATAGAGCGTCGGCCTGCGGACTGAAGGGTCCCAGGTTCGATTCTGGTTGAGGGCATGTACCTTGGTTGCGGGCACATCCCCAGTATGGGGTGTGCAGGAGGCGGCGGATCGGTGTTTCTCTCTCATCGATGTT